GAGATATAGCCTAGGGAGAAATAACAGGCCGGAAACCCAGCCTTGAGACGGATAACATGGCACAAGGGCAGAATAGCTGCGACGCAAGAGAAAGAAATGCATACACACCTTGGAAAAGTACCTGTGGCGACAAGGATGCGATACAGACACTGGCGCAAACGAGCCTCTCATTAGACACGTTTGGTTTTTTGGAGGTATCTTCGAAATGAACCCGGAGGTGGAAGGATTCCGGGTTATAATTCGAAGAGACTCGACAAACTTGAGATCAGGTGGCCACGTTTGCTGATAACAGCGACCACGTTATCAGCAGCATTTGGGTTGGGGAGGAGGCCCGCCGGAGGGGACTTTTGAGGCGCGGCTTTTTAATGACAGTGATGGTGGAGCATGGGTGATCCGGTGAAAAGCAGGTAGGGTGAGGGTGAGGGTGGTAGGGTGAAAATTTTCTGGAATGAAAAGAGAGATTGGGCGATGACTGTGTAGCTGGCAGGATGAGACGCTGCAAGGACTTTTGCTTGCTTTGGAATCTTGGATATTTTTTTTATGCGTGGCGCATAGAGCCGTTGAATAAGGGGGGAAGAGGCGTTGTGAGAATCAAGGATGGAGGTGTGAGTGAGCGAGCCATGAGGCGTGAGGAGGCGTTGGAAGGCGTTAAACCCGAGGAAAAAATCACTCTGGATGGTCCCCGGAGCCAGGCCGATCATGACCTGGAGAAGGCCTAGTAGTGCCTAGTAGCGCCTAGCAAGCCTTATTCCCTCGCTGGTGTGCTGTTGCTTGGGGGTGCTCGATGCCTATCAGATTTTTTGCCCGAGCCTAACCGACCTTTGTGCAGCTGGTGGTCCTCAAGATTCCCCGTACTCAACATGTGACATTTTTACGGTCGAGTATTCATCCCTCACCAAAAGACCCGCAGCCAAAGGCGGTGAGCAGGCAATTCTGTATTCTGCCAGCCCGCAAGAAGCAATCCAAGGTCTACCTCGTACTTTGTAAACAAATCCTCACCGTCGCTGGCCTTCTTCCCCCACTCCCTGCGACTACTTTTACTTTACTCTGTGTCCTCATCCTATACTTGTCCGGTATAGCCTTGGATCAGATTGCCACATACGTGCGACAACTGGGCAGGTTATAGTCCCATTTTGTCACTCCTCTCTCGTCGGACAGTGAATGCTCTCCGCCAACATGCACTAAGAGATCCCAAAGATTTCATTGCAGCAACGAACCACATTCCCCTAATTTGGAGCAACATCATCCGCCATGGCTTCACTTGCAGCTTTGGCTCAACTCCTGGATGCTAGTCTTGATCCTAGGCAGAACAAAGAAGGTAATGTTCATACTCTTTGCTCTAATGGTTGAAGTCGGTCTAACACCGAAGCCTAGCGGAGCTGAAGATTCGCGCCGAAGAGAAGAAACCTGGGTTTGCCATCTCCCTCCTCCAAATCACCGCCTCGAACGAGTTCCAGTACAACACCAGACTCGCAAGTGCCCTCTTCTTCAAGAATTTTATCCGACGCAGTTGGACCGATGTGGAAGGAAACTACAAACTTCCCCCACAAGATGTGAATGCTATCAAGACAGAAATCGTGGGGCTGATGATATCTGTGCCTCGGGGCATTCAGACACAGCTGGGTGAGGCCATCAGTGTGATAGCAGACAGTGATTTCTGGGAGCGGTGGGACACCTTGGTGGATGACCTGATCTCTCGTCTGAAACCAGGCGATCCGGTGGTCAATGCTGGGGTTCTCCAGGTCGCCCACTCGATCTTTGCGAGATGGAGGCCCTTGTTTCGATCCGATGAGCTCTTTACCGAGATCAATCATGTCCTTTCCAAGTTTGCCCAACCCTTTCTCTCTTTGTGGCAGAGCCTGGATGCCTACATTGAGGCTCATAGCAATGATAAGGCTGCTCTGCAACAAGCTTTTGCTGAACTCGACCTTGTTCTACAGCTGTTCTACGATCTGTCATGCCAGGACTTGTCTCCCGTGTTCGAAGACAATCTTGAGGGTATTTCCGGCTTGCTGCTGAAATACCTGAGATATGACAATCCTCTCCTACACACAGATGACGAAGCGGAAGCTGGTCCATTGGAGAATATCAAGTCCAACATCTTCGAAGCATTGACGTTATACATCGGCAAGTACTACGATGACTTTTCAAAGTATGTTAGAAGCTTCGTTGAAAGCTCATGGAATCTGTTGACCACGACCGGCGCCGAGCCTAAAAACGATATTCTGGTCAGCAAAGCTCTCCAATTTTTGACCTCAATCGGAGGCATCAATGAACAGGCGCAGACTTTCAAGGACCCGAATGTTCAGCACCAGATCATTGAGAAGGTCATTCTGCCGAATGTGGCATTGCGAGACTCCGATGTCGAGATGTTCGAGGACGAGCCTATCGAATTCATCCGAAGAGATCTTGAGGGATCAGATAGCGAGACTCGCCGAAGGGCAGCGGGCGATTTTCTTCGTCAGCTTAGTGATCAGTTTGAGCAGTCCGTGACCGGAATTGCAATGACCTATGTTCAAAAATGCCTTCAAGACTTCGCGGCAAATCCTCAACAAAATTGGAGAGTCAAGGACACGGCAGTGAGCGTATTCTATGCTACCGCGGCGAAAGGAGCAACAACTACGACGCACGGAGTGACCAAAACCAACAGTCTAGTGGATATCGGAGACTTCTTCTCAAAACATCTGGCGAGCGATCTGCAGGATGACAATGCCCAACCACTGATCAAGGTCGATGCCATCAAATATCTCTACGTCTTTCGGAGTATCATTACGAAAGACCAGTGGCAGCAAGTCATGCCCTTGCTTGTTAACCACCTTGGCAACTCAAACTATTGCGTGTACACCTACGCGGCTGTCGCAGTTGAGAGAGTCCTGGCCATGACCGATGAGACAGGGCGTCCAGTTATTGATCCGGCTCATATCAAACCATTAGCAAGTGATCTTCTGGAGCATCTATTCGGCTTGGTCGAAAAAGATCAAGCACCACAGAAAGTCCAAGAGAATGAGTTCGTCATGCGGTGCATTATGAGGGTCCTTGTTGTCCTCCGAGATGGCATTTCTGCAGTAGCCGATAGTGTCCTGCGACATCTGACCACTATTACGACAATCATATCCACCAACCCAAGCAACCCCAAGTTTTACTACTACCACTTTGAGAGCTTGGGAGCACTGATCCGGTTCACCCCTGCGGCACAGGCGGGTGCTTTGGCATCTCATCTCTTCAATCCATTCGCCGCCATCCTTGCCAACAATGTCGAAGAGTTCATACCTTATACTTTTCAGCTGATGGGTGCCCTTTTGGAAGCCGAACCTAGCGAACCGTTGCCGCCACAGTACACCCCACTGATCGCACCCATTCTCGGTCCGACTCTTTGGGATCAGCGAGGCAACATACCTGCTTTGGTTCGCTTGCTGGTCGCCATCATTCCCCGCGCAGCCAACGAGCTGGTGAGCAGCAACCAAGTGGAGAGTGTACTAGGTATATATCAGAAACTGGTGTCGACCAAAATCTACGAAAGCTATGGCTTCGATCTGCTCGAAGTTTCCATTTCAACCTTTCCACCATCCGCCCTTGAGCAATATTGGGTGCATATTCTGAATATCATGCTTACTCGACTCCAAAGCAAGCAGTCACAAGCGTTCCAGTTACGATTTGTGAGGTTCTATCATTTCGTGTCATCGCATCAGGAGAAAGGTCTCGGGACTGATTTCTTTGTTGCTGCCACGGATCGCGTCCAGCACGATGTTTTCCGCCAGCTGTACCTGAGCATCATTCTGCCGAAGACGCAGGAATTGGCTCGCCCTCTCGATCGGAAAATGGCCGCCATCTCTCTCACAAAATCACTTGCCGATTCCCAGGCTTTCGTCGAGCGCTATCCCAAAGGTTGGCCATTGACGTGTAACGCGCTGCTCAAGTTGCTTGAAGATCCCCCACTCCCACCCAAGGCAGACGATGCGATCGCAGATGTCGACGTTGACGACAGCAGCTTTGGCGTTGGTTTTACGCAGCTAAACACCATCCGACCACCACCAGTTGATCCTTTCCCCGAGGTCACGGACCTGAGACGATGGGTGGGACATTATCTCAAGGCAGCAGATCAGCGACACGGGGGCAGAATAGGCAGAGTGGTCAATGACTTGAGCCCAGATTCGAAGAAGGTTTTGAATGCATACATGACGCTTCAATAGCGCCGGGTCGGGGCCTCACTGGTCGGAAGAGACAGTCGTTCAGGGGGCGTGGCTACCGGTCAGGATAGAACAAGTGAGATGAAAGCGCGACTCTTGCATCCAGAATAGTCTCATACGCTGTCGGGGATTGAGGGAGAGAAAAAATAATGTCCGCCCATAGTTCATTGAGAACTAACGGGAGGATCTAGAACATGACCGGCTGTCAACTACAAGCAGGTTTGTCAGATGCTATCGAGCGAGTATTGAGTATCGTACCTAGTTCTGAAAGGGAGATACTCCAGACCCCGTTTTCCTGTTAACTGTACCTCGTAGATCAGGCCAATAAGCGAAATTGGACGGATTGTGGCTGAATCCATACGAGGCGAGGCTGAAACCTTATGGCGCCAAGTGATTGGCCACAAGGCCTAGTGGAGGGAAATCTGTCACTCAGAATGCGGGAATACTCTTACCAACAATGCCTACTATATACCCCGTACCAGTAAGATGACGACAATATGCCCTAGCTGTCAATGGCCCTCGGGCCCGCACCCCTATCAGATCCCGGAAGACCGGCATCGCTACAAAAGGTCAAAAGCAAGACGGAACCCATCCGGAGACTGTCTTTGTACGAGCATCTGGGGAGAACCGTGCATTTTCAGAGCGCGTGAAGACGCTACCAGCGACTATGCCATGTGCGATCCTCGGGTCTATATTGTTGGCAGAGTGGTAATACCACGTGCGTTGAAGTCGGGACACTGAGTCTGGCCCTACCAGTCGAGCATCTGAACAAGGAACCCCCAGACAAGTTATCGAGCGTCGCAAGTGTTCAAAATGGACTTTTTCGAGCCGCGGAGGGCCTACAAACGGGCAGGTACAGATTATCTCGAGCTCAAGAGCACAGAGGTCGAGTTGGACCAACATACCCTGCTTCCAAAGCCAGTTTCACAACGACATACAGCTCCGCGACCAGAGATCAATCGCCCCTCATCGCCGATTACAGTGATCCTATTCGAACAGACCCGTCATACTTGTCAGGAAAGTCTCTGAGACACCGTTTCCTCACCCTGCCAAAGGGGCTTAGTGGGTGGCGCACCGGTGCCATTACAGCCGCGCTTCTTGGAGTGGTATCTTTTCTCATCAATCTTGTGGTGGTGTCCTGGCTTACAGCGCGCGGTCAAGGTGCCAGCCTTGTGGAAGTCTACAGCGGTCACTGTGGCAAGGTCGAATCCCTGGACATCTGGATCCATCTGGCCATCAATACGATCAGCACTCTGCTACTCGGCGGCTCCAATTACTGCATGCAATGCCTCTGCGCCCCCACAAGGGAGGACGTGAACCGCAGCCATGCGAGGGGAGTATATCTCGACATAGGAGTGCCGAGTGTGAGGAATATGAGGAGTATCTCGAGCCACAAGTTGATTCTTTGGTTGGCCCTGGGACTGTCGTCCATCCCCTTGCATCTCATGTAAGTATGCCTTGGGGGAAGGGACCCTAATCCGTTGATACCAACCAGTCCTGATCACCTGGAATAGGTACAACTCGGCATTCTACAAATCACTTGAAGCAAACGACTACAATTTATTCTTTGTGACACAAGACTTTATCGACGGCAAAGCGTTTGTGCCCTGGAAAGGTGCGAGTGTTCCGCCCAGCCAACAGGATATCCAGTCTTCGCTTCTCACTCATCCGGAGACGTGGGAACGCCTGGAGAAGAAGGAGTGCATCCATTCCTATGCCACCACGTTTCTAACCAGTCGAAGAAACTTGATTTTGCTATCAAATAACAGTACGAGCCAGGCGAACGAGAGCGTATTGAAGGTTGACTTCTATACGTCGGGAAGTGTGCAGGCTTTCGACTGGTGAGAAGCTACTTCTTCGAACTTCACCTCCATCTTCCAGTCCAGTGCAAGCTTCCCGTCCACGTGAGGCTGACTTGATGATACCCAGGATTTGCACTAGTGATCCCAATATGGATACCAAGGTTGGCATGCCGCATGGGTCGCATGGCAACATACAGCCATGCGAAACGTGGGTCTCAAAAGTTGAAGCCATCGCTTCTCAATGGCGCCCCTACGATTACGACGTCGAATATTGTCTTTCTGAGCAAGTCACTGAGAAATGCAGCTACAATGGCAACATTCCCATCATAGCAATTGTTCTGTCATGCAATGCTGTCAAGATTGTGATCATGCTCTTCGTCGCATTTCGCTTGAAAGATAACCCTTTGATCACGGTGGGAGACGCCGTGGAAAGTTTTCTGAACGAAAATGAGACGTCGACGAAAGGCCTCTGCTTGCTGAGCAAGAGCGATGTGGTCATGGCCATAAAGACAAAGAGCCACTGGTCGCTTCGAGCCAAAAAGGGAGAGGGCCAATTGAGCCCCAGAGTGGCCCGGCTGCGCACAAAACGTGGGCTTGAATCTGCAAGCATCACGCGGTGGTCACTGACCACTGGCCTCACCGCCCTGGCGTTGATCGCGGTGGCCTTCCTTCTCGCCATCGCAACCAAAACTATCAAATCCTACGGCTTCAACATTGGCTCGATTGGCTTTGGTAAAGTCACTCAGGCGGGCGTGATCACCGGTTGGTCCATCGGTGCCGCCGACTCTGCAACGTCGAGAATTCTCTCGTCGATCCTCATTGCAAACTTACCACAGACAATCTTCAGCTTCTTATACCTCAACTTGAACGGAGTGTTGACAAGTATGTGGTTAGCGCGCGAATGGAGTCAATTTGCCAGCGAGAGAAAGCCACTGAGAGTATCGAAGCCAAAGGCAAGTCAAAGAAGCACGCACTTCTTACAGTTACCCTACAAGGTCGCCGTGCCCTTGATGGTTATGTCCGGCGCCTTGCACTGGGTGATCTCGCAGAGCATCTTTTTGGCCGTGGTTGCGGAGTATAGGGCAGACGGGAGTCTTCTTGACCCTACTTTTATTGCCACATGCGGATTCTCTCCCATGGCCATGATTATCGTGCTTGTACTGGGAGGGCTCCTGGTTGTGGTCACACTGGGACTTGGAACGGTGATGAAATATGATGCATCGATACCCTTGGTGGGGAGTTGTAGTGCGGCTATTGCGGCAGCGTGCCATCAGCCGAGTTGGGACACCGATGCTTCACTGAAGGCTGTGCAATGGGGCGCCATTCCTGGAATGGACAATAGTGCTGGGGTCGGGCATTGTGCTTTCAGCAGCGGCGAGGTCGAACCTGTACAGGACGGGAGATCATATGCTGGGATTCTGGACGAGATGAAGGCAAAGGACGTGGTCTACGGAGGGACGAATGGGCTATAGATGTGAAGTCCGCAGACATGGGCTGCCAGACCGAGACGATGACAAGGACAAACGCCTTGGAGATATAAAAACGATTATCTTGATAAATTGAGCCGGCAATGAGCCGAGTTTTAAGTATACTTTGCTCGAGGAAGGCTGTCTAGCTGACGAGGCTGAGAATACTCCACCATGATTGGGTAATTGAATCATCCCGGCAGACCTTCTCTTTGGGGAGAAGTATTTTTTTTTGGTCCTGTTCCCCCAAGATTTCTACCACGACATCAAATCTCCCATGCCTTTAGGAGAAATGCAGTCCCGACAAGATGACGGAGACCGGCATTTTGACAGACGAACAAATAGACGATCTTCTGTCACAGGCCGAGGTTCGTCTACGGGGAAAGTCACATTCTGCAAATGAAGACGAGATCAGTTTGGAGATTGTCAAGCCAACAACGACATCCAGGAAAATGTACGCCTATCATCTCCCCTGACCTGGCTGCGTCCGACTGACTTTTCCCGTGGCAGAGTTCCCAAACTACACAGCAACCTTGTTCGAACGAAGTATATCAATGACAAGCAGGGTGTCGCCGAGACCAATGCCAAAGCGGTCCTTGAGCACCAGCAAAGCCTGCTGGCGGATGGATTCAAGTCTGTCGAAGTGTCTCACAAATCCAAGAAAGTGGTACGTGGTTCTCTTGCATTGTATTATTCTGGTTCGCATGAGGAAATCTATTCCCATATGTTCTTGACGCAGATCAGCAGTCCATTCTGGCCTGCCCTGCACCCATGAAAGTTTTCAAATTCATAGTTACTCTGACTGTACCTTTGGGCTCTTCATTTATTGCTGCTCTCGTTGTTGTCTGCACATTGGCTAACGAGGAACAGAATGACCAGACCAGTGCAGGTCCTGACTGGTTCGACATGCCCAAGACAGACTTGACTCCTCAACTGAAGCGTGACCTCCAACTCATCGAAATGCGATCAGTGCTCGATCCGCACCGGCACTACAAGAAAAATAACAGAAGAGGCAAAGTGCCCACGTTCTCGCAGACGGGGACTGTCATTGAAGGGCCTACCGAGTTTTTCAGCGCAAGAATCAACAAAAAGGATCGATCCAAGAACTTTGTCGAGGAAGCAATGGCTACCGAGAGGGAGACTGGACGGTTTAAGCGAAAGTACAGCGAAATTCAAGACACCAAAACAAGCGGCAAGAAGGCACACTACAAAAAGCTCATGGCAAAGCGGAGGAAAAGACCCTGACCCTGGCCAGCGTTGTGAAGCGAGAAAATTTTTATACTGCCAAAGAACCGAACCCGTACTCGGTACTGTCCACCTGGCGCTGCCCGTGCTCTGCTTGACACCACAGCCGGGGGAGCTACCTATGCACGGCTGGCGAGGAATCGGAGGTCAGGCATCAATATTCGGCTGAAATGCTTGCTTTGCCTGGGATCTCTACGGAGTACCGAACCTCACTGGAGACAGGCGAGGGAACCAAATACGCGCGACGAACGGGAATGTAGCCCATTGGAAGTCGTGGAGTGTCCCAGCATCGTTGTGGCACAGCCGCAGAGATACTCATGCTTCGCCGGCCCGCCTTGATTGAGGGCCAAAGGGATGGAAATCTCCGTAGCAAACAAAGTTGCAGATAGACGGGCGGTTGAAAGATGTTTTGTCCCATAAGGCAAAGCCAGAAAAGCCTAAACCGCAGGGCATCTGAGATGACTGAGATGATACTTGCCTGCCTAAGGGGAATTGGGGGCCACGGGCAAAAGATTTGGATAGCAACTGGAATAACGAATGTGGATTTGGGCCGGAAGTTGTACAAAACCTCACTGCACCGACTCCGTACCTATGAGAAAGACTCTGCAAGGATACCCTGACTGTTCTTTGCATGTGGCCACCGCAAATCTACCGTACTATTGTCAAAAACAACTTTCTTTTTCGCTCAGCTTCACATGGGCACATTGTACTCGGTAATTGTTGTGCCAAATCATCTCAAACCGGTCCAAGGAAGGCTGCGGGCTTGATTCGAGCCGCTCCGTCTCCTGCATGGCCAATTTATCGCTGGCGTTGCCACCCCTTTAACACCTCCTTTCTCGGTGCTCCAAGTCGAACCATTATGGGACTGTCAATCCAATATCACAAGTCCAGCCCGTTGCTATCCGGCATATGACCCCACAGGCCGTTTCTCCCAGACCTTTCTCCCGGTCATCTCTCCCAGCGCCAGAATCACCGCTTCAAGCCCTCCGCAAACACGGAGTGGATTAGCCGAAATGTCCAAGAACGAACATCCTCTACCCTGTTTTGATCGAGGCCATCTCGCTACCACATCTGCCGGACAAAAAGAGATGACTGGGGACACGTGGATGGTGATGAAGTCATTTGGATCTGCCCGGAAAGAGGACGCCGGCACAAGCCTACAAACAGGTTTGAGAATTCACCGTCCAGCTCCTTTTCAGCATGCATGCCTGGCTGAGTCGTCGCGAATCACCTTGTTCCCCGTGCGACGATCCCGTCAGTCGGCTTGCGAGTGCCCCCGAGCATTGTGGAAACATCAAGAAACCCTACTCTATGTGAGACACACCATCAAAGCAGGATGACCATGGGCCAGGAACCCAGAAACCCACAGAGCGACCAGAACCACAAGGCCTGTGCCTGTTATCTCGCGAATAATTCTTGGTGCAGAGGCCTTGTGCCTCGAGACTTGAGACTGGCGTCCCCTGCCACCACCCGCCCCGAACAAGCTTCCCCTTCTTCCAGCGGGCCTTACCCGAAAGGCGAAAGGCTCAGCAGGAGATGCAGTGATGGCCTGACAGTATGCTGCCGCCACCGTCTTGCATGCGTTCAAGCCTCACCTCAGGTCCAATCGCATCGAGCTCGCCTTTGGCTGCCAGGCAGATTGGCCAGTATCAGACCTGCGCCGCGACTCCGCCCCCATTGGCGAGATATCTTTAGCTGGCGCCACAAGGATACGCCCCAGACAGTTGCTAGGCCCCTTTGAGCTCCCGCCAGACCTTGCCGCGGGCCAAGTTAGCTATAATCCAGAGGCCTTCTCCAACCCTGCCCCAACCACCGACAATACGATAGCACGACGATTAGATCTACGACTTGCCGCTGCGTTACCACGACTCCCCTAGCATCCCTCGACGTTGCAGATTGGAATTTAACTTGATTGTTACCTTGGTCTGTTTATTCTTCTCCAGAATCCATGCGCAATGTGTGCGCGAGGTGAGGCCTGGCAACGCACCACTGGTAGGACGACCTCGATGCCCCTCCTGATTGGAGAGAACCCCCAGAAGCTCGAGATTTGAAACGACTTCATATCAAGGACAACATGACATCGGTTCTGCGCCTGGGAAGCAAGGACCGCTCGTCCTTCTCCTTCTTCAAGCGACAGGGTTCAGACAATGCATCGGATCTTTCTTCCGACAACCTCGCCCACCGCCTCCCCGATATTTCACATGTTGACACTCGATCTTTTGCAGAACTATTTGACGAGTTTATGAACAAGGAGATCCACGACATACCCCAGGCCCAAGTGCAAGGTCCGGCAATACAGTCCCCTGACTTGATAAAGGTTATCGAGTCCAACACCCCGACCCAGACGACCGTACCTAGAAAAACCTTCGATACCAAGGTCGACTTTCTCAAAGTCAACATCGCCAGGAATGATTCCACAGCATCATCTTGCTATTCTCAGCCAAGCCAAAGGGATAGCGATTGCTCACCCTTAGTCACCAGGCAGTCTTCGAGCTCCAGCTACACCCAGGAGCCACCATCTGCAGTTCAGAGAACGGTTTCGTCGAAACTCAAGCCCATATCGATCCCCAAACGACCGACGCAAGGATTTCTGGGCAACCTCACAGAATCTCCCGTGAGCGCGCAGCCTTCACCGGCCAGGGCCAACTCCTCTCTAGTAAGAGTCGTGTCGGCTCCGCTAAACCTGGACAAACCACTTCCTCCGGGCCCAAGCAATACTAAAGGAGCTTCCACCTCGGCACCAAATCTGCTTCTATGTCAGCCACCGGTGGAGCTTCCCTCCGCTCTTCCGAGATCAATCAGGCGTTCCTCTGCCAGTGTACAGCGCATATCGTCTCAACCAGGCGTGATGGCCTCTACAAGAAGGGGCTCTGACGGCGGTGCTTTATCAGAATTGCCAGCCTGGTCCCACAGATCAACTCGGCAAACTCCATCGGAGAGGACTACCGTCCACGGACACCACAGGAATCGTTCAGCATCTGACACGGAGGTGCCGCATCCCGGACGTTCCTTGAAGCCAGCGTCCAGACGACATACGGTTGATATGCAGAAGCTTGTATTAACTGCCGCCTCTTCATCCAACCCCACTCAAGCGGCTCGGAAGCTGAATCGTCGTCCGATTACAGCAACAACGGCCGAGCGTGTGATCTACAGAATCATGTGTAGCCTTCACAGCGCACGAGATCTCCAGGCTACTGCCATGATCAGCAAAGGTTTTCTACGGACTTTTCAAAGGAATGAATCGAAGCTGGTAAGCCATTTGATGTTCAAAACATCACGAGCTGCTTGGGAGCTTCGTCGGAGTATCCTTGCTCTGAAAGGATCCAACGACTTTCTCTTGAAAGACTATAGCCGTGACTGTCGAACCCTGGATGCGTTGAAGGCGTTCATTGTAGCTCATTGCAGCTCGAGTTGCAAGCAGAGCACGCTGATTGGTCTTTTGGGCCAAGATGATGAGAGAAAATCACGAATCGACGATGCGTTGTGGCGCATATGGACGTTCTGCACTTTATTTGGAAACACAGTCGGTCAATCTGGCCCTGCACAGACGGAAATCGATTGGCTCAACGGCACTAGAGCGGCTTCCAACAAACATCTCGGGGCCGGGTTCGCTATCGGCAATGGAAATGGGCTTACGACCCACGAACTTGAAGACATGAATGAGATGTGGCAGTGTTTGCAAATCCTGGTGTCAGGTTTCCGTGGTCGAGAGCAAGAAGCCAAGCGATACGGAGTCTTTGACAACTGGCACTTGCGAGACA